ACATTTTTACATGATAACAAAATTATTCACAGAGACCTTGTAAGGGCTTATAAACATATGTAAAATATTATTTTTAATTAATGCGTATTAAACAACTTTTTTTTTTTTTTTGTTTTATTAGCATTCAAAAAATATTTTGGTTCATAATGAACGAATGATAATTGCAGATTTTGAAATATCTGAACACATGAATGATATAACAATGTTTAAAGCTAGTAAAATGTATGGATATTTAGAGCCTCAATGCATTGTAGAACCATTATATAAATGTAAGGAGAGTTCTGATATCTATAGCCTTGGAGTAATCTTTTGGGAAATTTCTAGCGGTAGGCCACCTTTCTATTACTTCGCAATTAGAGAAGCAATTCTTTTTCATGTAGCCCAAGGAAAGAGGGAAACTCCCGTAGCGGACACACCAGATGATTTTGTTGAACTTTACCAACGTTGTTGGGATCAAGGACCTGAAAGACGTCCAGAAATTAGAACTGTCCTTGAAGAATTAAAAGTAATACGGCTTTCTTTAATTGATGACCAAAAGGCTTTCCATGAAAAATGGATTGAAAGGAAAATCATTGAAGGGAAACTTAATGAGCATAATATTGATGAATTTGAAGATTATAAACGGATCAATGGTGGTGCTACTAGTAAAGTTTATAGAGCAAGATTTAAAAGTACGAAAAATACATGTGCATTGAAGTATATTGAAAGCAATAATCATACTAACAAAGAACTTGTAAATGAGGTAGGAAATATTTTATACAGGTTATTAGGGAAACATTTATATTATATGCTAAAATGCGTAATTATAACAATTTGCAGCTAGATCATATGCTTTCTATAAAATCTCATAAAAATATTATTAAATTACATGGTGTCACATATGAAGTAGATAGAAGGGATCCAAATGTAGTCGAATATGTACTTATTTTTGAGTATGCAGATAATGGAACTTTAAGAGAATATTTGCATCAAAACAGGAATAAAATTGAGTGGGAATTAAAGATTCAATTTGCAATTCAACTTGTAGAAGCCGTTAAATGGTTGCATGCTCACAATATTATTCACGGTGATTTGGTAAATTTTATAATATATAATTGTATTATGTTTCATGTAATTATAATAAATTTTGTGAATTTTCATTTTATACTTAAAAGCATACCAATAATATACTTATTCACCAAGAAACTTTAAAATTGGATTTTGGATTATCAAGACGTGTCATTGAAACTTCAAATTCTCAAACCTCAAGTGAAATTTTCGGTATTATACCCTATATTGATCCTCAATGTTTTATAACAGAGCAAAGCCAAAATGGAAACTTTCGCAGATATAAAAAGAATAAGAAATCAGATATTTACAGCATCGGGGTTATTCTTTGGGAAATATCATCTGAACAACAACCTTTTAAAAATGAGGATCCAGCAAGTCTACTAGCTAAGATAAGAGATGGGCTACGGGAAAAGCCAATTGATGATACACCTCACGAATATGTTACTATTTATACAAGTATGTTTAATTATAATTTATAGTTTATGCTTTTATGGCTTTTAGTCATAAATATTTGACTTATTAGGATGTTGGAAGAGTATGCAAGATGATCGACCATCCATCGAAGAAGTAGCTATGGCGTTCGAAGACTTTGTTGTTCAAGACATCGCGAAAGATGATAGTTTTGTTATACATGACATATCGGAATTTGAGGAATTTATTAAAAACTCCTTCGAAAACATTAATATCAATATTAAGTTAAATGCTGCAGTAGTTGGTCAGGATGAAATGTCTCTCTTTGTAAATAATCTATATTCGACTTTTAGTAAGCTATTTAATCAGTTAGCGATATAATTACCAAGTTTATATCTCAAAATGATAAAACCAATGAAGAAGTTTTTCAATGGTTATTGGCAAATAACAATCATTTAAAGAATACTTGCCTACTTGGATTATTTTACCGTTGGAATATTGGCACAGCTGAAAATAACATAGCGGTTCTTGTCGATGCGGCAAATAAAGGAGATGCTATTGCGCAATATTTTGTTGGCAAGTGTTATGAAACAGGTTGGGGTATCAAGAAGAATACGAAGAAGGCAATTGAATGGTATGCTGAAGCGGTCAAAAACAATTGTGCAGCAGCAGAATGTGTGGTTGGAGAGTATTATTATAAACAAAAAAAATATAACAAGGCATTTTACTGGCTTAAAAGAGCAGCTGAACGTAAAAATTACAAAGCATTGGATACCTTAGGATTATGTTATAAAAGAGGTCAAGGAACAGATACTAATGCGGTTGAAGGATTCAAATCATTTGAAAAGGCAGCATTATGGGGACTACCTACTTCACAATATGAACTTGGAAATTGTTATGAATATGGCATAGGAACAAAAATAAATTTGGATCAAGCATTATATTGGTATCAAAAGGCTACAGAAGCAAATCCTAATTATCTAACTCACCTGAAACGTGTCAACAAAAAAAAAAAAAACAGTAAAATTACGATAAGTGCGTGAGTATTATTTTTTTTATTTTTAAGTTTCTTGTTTTTTTATCCGCATTCAAAGTTGAATTTGTTTGCTTATTTATACTCTGGGTACTATGTGTATAAGTGGAAATTAAGTTTCAATTTATAACCAACTACCCAGAATATACATTATTTGGGACTAGTTAAACCTTGGAACTTGTCCCAAACTTACTGTATGAATTGGGATTTGGGGACAGCAATGATTCTGTCAAACAAAATTATACGGTACTTTATCGTAATAAAAAAAGTAGCAAAATAAAATAGCATTTTTTTAAAAGTCATCAAAAATGTTTGTTTAGGTTTAATATTATAAAAATAAAAAATTTTTAATCATATCATTTATATTTAATTAGACCAGAAAGCAATATTTTCGACCGTATTAAGTATTTTGTTTCCGTTGTCACCGTCGATGATAAGTCCAAGGATTGTAATGGTGTGAATCGTAGTAATGAAACTGAAGGTTGGATTAACATTTCAGAGTCCATGTCGGTGCATTCAACCATTTTTCAAAAACCTTCAGATACCGTATATACTGAAGCTGAGAAATTATTTTCCCTACTTAAAAAAAGGAAAGACTCCATTGATCGTATACTGAAATCACAACTTGTATATGCTATAGGTCCCGATTTTCAGAATGACTATTCTAAGCCATATATAGCTTGTTGGGCTGCCAGGCCTCTAGATAAAACAATCATGAAAAAAATTTCAAGTTTGTTTGATGATAAGTTCGGAGTCGTTTACCATCTTGTAAATGCCGAAGACATAAGTAGCCAATTTACTTCTGCTACTAATACTAGAACCTTGGAGGAACATGGAAAAAATAAAGAAAGTGCTGATGACGACAATTATGATGATGATGATAGCGACAACGATAATGGTGACGATAAGGACGGTGGTGACAACAATAATGGTGGTGATAATGACAATAATGGTGGTGATAATGACAATAATGGTGACGATGGTGATGATGGCGGCGACGATGGTGATAGCAATATGGAACGAGTAATTATGGTTTCATCTGAAGGTAGAGTTGAAACAGACGATAAAAAAGAATTTCAAAATTTCAATATTACTATTGGTATTTGGGCAAAAGTCGGGTTGGACTCATATACAAGCGAGAATACTTTAGAGTTTAAAATCTATTTAAAAAACTGTGGAGTATCGAGATTTCTTAGTGAAAAATGTCAATTTCTTGAAAACTTCATTTGTTATTATCTTGATTCGTTCAAAGTCAGTGTCTCTCCGATTTCAAAAGGTAGATCTAATATCATGATGATGCATGAACATCGTCCACAAAAAAAAAATAATAACGAATGGAACTTGGATGTTGACATTTGTGAGGCTGACGGTGTACTATGGTCATATCAGTTTATAAGCAATGACGCACAAGGAAGAAATAGGGAAACTATTCCAATGGATAAAATTTATTTTGGTCATTGGTATATCAAGAATGAAGGAGGGTTTCGTATCACCATTACTCAAGAGCTTGGTTGTAAGGATAAACAAAATTTTTTCACAAAGATTTTCTCTTCGACGCCAAAATTGTTACAACAGTATCCCAATCTTGTTCACAAACTTGAAATTTCCTTTAACAAAATCTCGAATTTCAATGATGACTTTATAGAATTAACAAAAAGTGTACATAGCGCACCAAATCACACTCCAGAAGACAAACAGCCTCCCAAACAAAAGAATAATACTGAGTTCAAGCGCCAATTATCTTCATAACTTTGCTAAAAAAAAAAAAAAAAAAAAAAAAAAAAATGTAAAGACGTTAATTACTTTCTTCTTGTTAGTGGGTATATATTTATTTATGTATTTTATTTATTTATTCATTCGATCAACCAATTTTTTCATTTACAGTGAAAGTCCAAGAACGCTATGCAAAAGTTTAATTTAACCTCGCATATATTAGTTATGTGACTTAATTGGTATAATTCTTAACTACTCTATATCTTAAGTGGGCATAGTAGGGTATAAGATGGATTTTCATTATATATTTGGGATAGTAAATTATTATATAGTTTAATTAAACAGTTCGATTTTAAAAAATAACAATATAAAAAAAATAATAAAAATAAATAACCAAAAACTTAATTACCAAAGGTTACCGAACTCTATCTATCCAATAATTTTTTTTCACAACCCTTTCAACTCTAATTTTATTTTAATATTTATAACAGCATTATCTGTTCAAAGAATATTACTTATGGTGATAGTTTTTGACTTTAAATAAGAATCTTATATTTATTCTTTCAACTACTGTTTGTAATAATAATAAACAATTCGAGTTAGATCCAGATTTTAACAAATTCTACGAATTTGCAAATAATTAACAGCAATAATTGGATTTAAAATAAATAAGAGCATAAACTTATCTCTTTGTTTAATTTTAATACCCCAATATATTTGAAAATTTTATTGATACTACTAAAAAATATAGCTACAAATTATTATAATGAAGTAAAGAATAATCAAACATTTAGTTTTTTTTTAATTTATCCATTCAAAAATTACATATTGCTTAACCAACAAAGATTATAAACTAATCAGACAAAGTTGATCCCTTTATTCGATTAGAAGTACTTAACTAGAGTCACAAAAATTATAAGGCTATTAAATTATAACTTTTTGGGATCTTCTTGGGCAAAATAGAACCATTATAAGATTATAATCAGGGTTGAAAATCTTATGTTCTCATGTTCTCATGAGAAGATACCTTTAGATTTGAGAACATTTGATTTTCTGTAAATGTTCTCTATGAAAATAAATTTGAGAACATAACACTCGAAAAATATGTCCTCTATATAAGTATTATGCAAATATAATAACATAATGCCAGATTGAAATAAAATTAGGAATCGAACGAAGTTCCGAAATCATCCTAAAATAAATGAATGAACATAAAAGACGAGAAGGGTTACAAAAATTTGAATAAATGACCGATATTTTCTGAAATTTAAAAATAGGGATATAAATAAATTTTAATGTTGAGAACAAAAATAAATTTCCGAGAACATTGAATTTAATAAATTTGTTGTCATGAGAAGATAAATCCCAAAACAGATTTCCAACACTGATTATAATATAAAAAACTCTAACCCTAACTTTAATCTAACTTTAACTTAAACTATAACCCTAACTATTTATAAATTTGCTTAAATTAGTTTAAATAGTTACTATATGTTATAATCTTATATAATAATTCTATATTGCCCAGTTATACTAAAGATCAACCTAGAATTCTAATCATACTAGAAAACAAGAACTATTGAGATTAGAATCTTAATATCTAGATTTTAATTTTATAGTTGTTTAAGAAGTTTAGAACATACAACAATAATATTTTTTATAGTCAACTATAGATATAATAAACTTCTCTATAACAAATTTTGGATATACAAAACTCAATTAAAATTTACAATAATTCAATATAAAAAGCCTACAGTTTTTTTTTAAAAAAACAGAGTAATATACTTTATTTCTAAAACTATTTGTTTATTATATAAAGTATAACTATATATATATATATATTTTTAGCTCTTTGACAGCCTTGCCAGAGCTCAAATACAATACTTTATTTAAACAAACTTGGATAGATTGAATAATGTCAGTAAAAAAATTGCAAGTCCAACATCTCTTGGCTGCATCTAGTGTGCCCAAGAGTGACTTGTCGCACCAACCTACATGTAAGTTAGAAGACCCTGTCAGCCTGTCAAAAGCCTATCCCTTCATTCTTACTTTCTTCACCAAGAGCAAAAGAAAATAATGTTCCATATTCTCAATACTAGAACATACATCAAGAATAAAAGAAGTTTACATACAAAGAAAAAAACAAAACAAGAAGAGGAAAATAATGAAGAAAAAAAAAAAGGGGAAACAGAAAATGTAAAAAAAGAAAAAACAAAGAGATAAGCCCTGACAGGCTGAACAAAGGGGAAACTACCTCTATCAAGATGTAGTACAAATAGAATGAAAAAAGAAAAATACACTATTATAACCCATGCCAGATTAAGAAAAAATTTTACTACAACTGCAACATTTGTATATCTTGACAAAAAAATTCAACAAATTATTATCCGACTACCAGCCACCTCTGGATGCCTCTTATGCCAGAGACCTGATCCCAGTCATGTAGAGGACCCGTATCCATAGACTATGATGCATATCATATCCACCGATAAACAAGGCACATGGTTGCATTCCTGGGTACGTCCGAATTTGGGAGGTAAATAATGCTGATCTTTTGGAGGGGGTAAGCCAAATCACCCACTTTTTGTTAAAAATTTTGGAGAAGACTAGCCAAGCAAAAAACATCTAGAGAGAGACCACTTGCACCCAAGGAAAGTAGTTACATCTATGCAAAGACTCAACAACACCCAAACCTTCTTCTAGGAAAGGGGTGGGCACCTATACTCTCTTTTTGGTGAGTAATAAACTCTGGGCTTGTCAGCAAGTAGCGTATAAGAACTACTTTAAACAACAAGTGCCGTGCATGTGGTAAGTGATAAACTCTGAAGAAGTTAGCAGGTAGTGTATGAGAACTACCTCTAAATAACAACTGCCGACTTATAGCCAAGTGTGCCCTCCGTTTTTACTATATGCTATTGTGTTTTTAACAAAAAATGAGGTTGGATTTTTTGGTACCCGTAATTACTTATTTCAATTAACTAATAGCCTTGAAAATTCAGATTTTAAAGAGGTCGCAATTAACATTTTAAGAAATTTATACTAATTCCAAATTATTTTGATAATGCTAAAAAGATATGCATACACGTGCATATATTTGATCAATATGATTTTTGTTTTTAATCTGAATTCATTCAGATTTGATCTAATTCAAATTTTAACCGAATATATCACAAAGAATTCGAATTTAATCCGAATTGGTTTTAAAAATTAGGATCGAAGCACTAGCTTGGCGTAATTTAATTAGTCTACTCCAAGAATAATATTTACTAGTGTTTTGATCCTATTTTCAAAAGGCTATTTGGATTAAATTCAGATCTTTTTCAACATATCTGCTTTATTCAAATTTTAATCAAATTACAAATTCAGATTTAATTTGGATTCTTTAATAGGAATCCTAGTAATTATAGCTGTTCTGAGGCAAACTAAAAATTGCTTATTTCTCAAAATTTCTTCGGTTCTGTCCAATAAATTATTTAACTCTCTGAAAAATATATCGCTATCTCCGAACTGAAGTTCTGAAATCAATGATGTAATTTTGAAGAGTTAGGTGATCTTTGGGACAAAAATGAAGAGATTTCAGGAAGCAACAATTTTTTAGTTTGTCCCAAAATTTATAAAAACAGCTGTAAACATCTAATATGTAGTGTTTCAATTCTATTCTTAGAAGACTATTTGGATTAAATTTGGATCTTCTTTATAGTATTTGATTACAGTTGTTTTTATAAATTCTGAGACACTTGAAATCATTGCCTATGACTGAATCAATAAGTTTTTGATGTGGCTGATATTAGTAACTTATTAATTCCAGTTTGGTATTCGGTTATTAAAAAATTTTTTAGCTGTTCCAGAATTTATGAAAATAGCTATAATTTATGGACAGCTCATTTCACTGGTAGTTTATTTCACTGACAGCTCACTTCACAAAGTAATTCTAGTTATTGTCAGGTTAGAATTAGAGTTAAGGTTAGTGTAATTTATAAAAAAACTTGTTAGCGAAATAAGCTATTGGTAAATAAACTGTCAGTATAGTGAACTTGTCGGTGAATTATAGTAGCATTCGAATTTTATAGCAATTCAGATTATATATATCTAGGATAAGGATCTGTATAATTCTTATCCTTAATCCAATATTTATTATGGATCTATCTATTAAAATAAATGAATTAGAATATTTGTATTTAATCTGAATTATCAGATCAATTCAAATTGTTGGATTACGAATCAAAACACTAATATTTACTATTTCTATATGTTTTAATATCAGAAATATTTCACAATATAGATCCTTGATATAAACTTTCTTCATTAGAATTTTCATTATCTAAATCATCTAATATATTAGTTTTAGTAATATTTTAATTTTGTGTTAAGAATATAGATAAATATAAACCACATTGCTAAAATTCTTGTTGTGCAGTATCCAAATATTTACTACATTTTGGTGATTTAGTAAAAAATTCAATTAACTGTTTAATTTTTTTAAAATGAAATTTTTTATTTTTTTTTTTTTTTTTTGAGGTGTGGCGACTTAGTGTAGTGGTCTAGTCGTCACTCTTTCCAAGTGGCAGGTCTAGAGTTTAAATCCCACTGGCGACGATATTTGAAAAATAGGCTTGTGTTCGGTTGACGGCTAATGCATATTGGTTGGATCTAATCTGTAACTTCGGTCACACTATCTAGTAATGGGAGCAATAGCGCAATAAATCCGAGGAACCGGCATAACTAAAAACCCATTTGGGAAGTTCCAAGTTAAGAGTAACAATGATCTTCAATGGTATCACAAGAGGGCTGAATTCGAATCGGGGCTCGAGATCGGAGAACCGAACATCCAAGTCCTAATGGCGGAGGACATACCAGCCGAACTGCTGGGTTGTCGCACCGGAGGAAAAGGACATACGCTACGAAAGTATGTATCAAGGGGAGGGCGTCCTTCAGGTACCTAAAGCCTGGGCAGACCAACCCTTCCGGGTTGCCGGCTGGAAGTAAGGGAGAGACCGATAAAAAATCTGGGTAAGAAGACGGTCCGAATGCGGGTA